CCCAACCCAACCGAACCTAACCTAACCTAACCCAACCTAACCCAACCCAACCCAACCCAACCCAACCTAACCTAACCCAACCCAACCCAACCCAACCCAACCCAACCTAACCTAACCTAACCTAACCTAACCTAACCCAACCTAACCCAACCCAACCCAACCCAACCCAACCCAACCTAACCCAACCTAACCTAACCTAACCCAACCCAACCGAACCTAACCTAACCTAACCTAACCCAACCTAACCCAACCTAACCTAACCTAACCCAACCTAACCCAACCCAACCCAACCCAACCTAACCTAACCCAACCTAACCTAACCTAACCTAACCCAACCCAACCTAACCCAACCCAACCCAACCCAACCTAACCTAACCTAACCTAACCCAACACAACACAACACATGTCGTCGTAGCAGTTGAAGAACCAGACAGCAAGACCGTGTTGGCTAGATAAAAAAAAGCACTTTATTGAACACGGCGCGTGGCAGTATACTCGTGATCGTCGAGGTAGGCATCAAATAAATTAATCAATGCAAGTGGATTAACCTTCTTGTCATACTTTAGCAATTCTGGACAAGTTTTCCACCTGTACCTAAACATCCTGTGGTTAAACGCTGGAATGCGCGGAAAAGTCTCGTGGTTACTCAAAACAATCACGGGAGTGCGTGTTACAGTCATGTCGCTCGAATACTTTACCGCTACACTGTCTACATCACCCCCAAAAATTTTCTTTATTGTTTCAAATGCGCTCGATTCGCAATTTGGTTCGTTCCATATCAAAATGCGCTTGCCCACGGCATCTTGCAATGGAAAACTAGAATACTTGTTAAAGTTGTGTATAGTGCCCCTGTTTATATAAAAACTGACAACGGCATCAAAGAAAAAGTTTTTTCCAGCACTTGGAGGGGATACAATCTCCATGCAATTCTTCTTGGGTACGCGCCTTTCGAGTAGGTTATACAAGTTGGTTACAAAGTCTGGAACTTCGGGTCCCAATTGATATTCCAACAGCTCTACAATGGCTGCAAACGAAGACGGCACATCCATATAATATTGGCTAATGTTGCCATGTGGTGCGTCAAACAGAGGGTTAGTCTTTTGATACAGAGATATATAGTCCAAAGTGGTCCAGTTACACAATTGTTCATTCAAAACTTGAATGGCACGTTGCAGGCGCTTGTCATCTAGGCGTATGAATCGCAAGTCCGCACGTTCTAACCACATTGGAGTTCGAGTAATGTTCGTCAGCGGCGAGACCGGGTTCTGGGAGAGGATGAGAAAGAGTGACTCCTCTGTATGGTGTGCTTTCTCACATCTTCTGGTTTCACGTGGAGTAGTTTCCGTTGCGTATACTTGCGAAGTGTTCGGATGGCTTCCAACACTTCGGGTGCAGTCGTCGCATGCACTTGGACCTTGAAATGCTCCAAATAATACCTCCACTGCTCCTGCGGTTCCACATCTGCAATGTCTTGGGAGTTCCAATACCTCAGCTCCAATGTATTCGAGCCAACTGGTTCCTGCCACCTTAAGGTACTCCAACCGGCGGGGCTCTTTATTAAGATAGTCGACGAGGCGGAAATAGTCCCATCCATTGGTGTTACAAGACCAAACCGAAGAGCGATTTGGTCTTCTGCGGAACCCTGCAAAGGCGACACATCTACACGTTCCGTTGCTCCACGAGCAATCGTGGACGACGTGCAAGTGCGGCCGTCTACATCCCGAGATGTGGAAGGAGATGGCGGCAAAGGCATATCCTGCTCTGGGTTCTTCAAGGCGCTTAGACAAAGTAAAATAAGACTCCTGAGCTTCTCCATATGATCCAACGGTAATGACATCATGCACAATTCTTCTTCGTTTTGGAACGCGTCGTAACTCTTCTGCCCATCGGGGCAATAGTGGAGGGGACTCGTGATGGTCGCATTCTCGCGTTGCCAATGTTCTTGGTTCGGACAAAATTTCTCCTGGTTAAATGTCCACGCGTCGATCAATTTCTTTTAGTTTCGTCCAACTCTTGTATAGGGGAAGCGGCACATCGTGACTCATCTTCTCCACTGCTTTGTCCATCTCCTCCCTAGTAACGGACATTTCCCCGTCAAACATATATTCCAATAATACGTGTAGCGGTACCTCATCGTCATTCTCCTCAAGTCTGACTCGCTTCTTCTCTGGCATTTCCCGCTCCATCTATGAAAAAAAAAAAAAAATTTGGCAAAGTCTAGAGAGCATTCGAGAGGCAAAGTCCCTAAATTAAAAACTTAGTCTCAAAAATGCTCAATAGAGCAGAGTCAAAGTTTTTGCAGGCTCACCATCCAAGGGGGCAGGCAGTCCAGGCAGTCCAGGCAGGCAGTCCTTCCAGGCAGGCAGGCAGGCAGGCAGGAGGTCTTGTTCCTTCGAGTCCTCGGCGAAGACTGAATTTTCGAGCCGAAGGCAGCTCCTTTTATATCGTGCGGTTGGCCTTCGCGACCTGGATAAACCGGTTAGCGTCCTTGGCGACGCCCAAAAGCAGTTCTGCTAGTTGCCTATATAATGAGCGAGCTAACCCTACTAAACCTCAGTCTACTACGACGACTCGGACGGGAAGGATGGACCCTCTGCCAGGACCAAGCAGCACTAGTAGTGGCCAGGCTGGTGGAGAGAAGGACGGAGGACTGGGGGCTAATATTCGGCGCATCTTATTGGTGAGTCCTGTTAATGACTAATTAGTTGATTAATTAGTAATTAGTTAATTAATTAATTAAAAAAAATTTAAAAAAAAAAAAATTAAAAAAAAAAAAATAAAAAAAAAATAAAAAAAAAATTAAAAAAAAAAAAATTGGATGTCGTTGCAGTTGTCGTAGCTAAGTATAAAAGAGTTATATATATATATATATATCTTCTTTAGGATACCGACGACGACGACGACGACATGAAGATTGAGGATTCCCCCGTGTCCAGGGCAATAGAGTGCTCCATGGATTTCAAGGAGGATTTTCTCCGATTGGTCGTCGATAAACTCGTCGAGTTTGGAAAGAGGGAAGTCGAAGCACGCATGCATAAGGAGAGGGTAAAAGCGCAGAAGATACAAGAAGAAAATCTTAAGGAAAGGGATATTTGTGCCAAGGTGCTTCGAGGCAATTACGATTATCTGGTCATTGTTCGGAGAGAAGATGAAAGCGAAAATGATTACTGTCAGCGGATGGTACGAGCAATGGACGAAGAATGGGACAGAGTAGTCAATTGGTTGACGAATAACGAGATATGCAGGCGATGTGGGTACAAGAAACAATAAAAAGTTTCTTTATTATGGCTTGAATGGTACAGAGAGTAACTTGGCAGTTCCGGCAGATTCGTGATATGTGTAGTGGCCCAAGTGTGTTTGTCGGTTAGCTGGGATATACTTGTTTACCTTAGTTTTGGTAAAGTGTTGGTGGCACGCGCTGTTAATTTTTTGCATGGGCGATATTGTATCGTTGCTCGAGTGAAGCACCAGTTCTGTGTCCACCTGGAAAAATGCCGACACGTCTTGAAATTTATCGTTGCTGCCCGGAGAATCGATCGATTTTTTGCTTACTGCCAAAATTCCAAAGCCCACGCTAGGCTGCGCCTTGCTGCAATTGGGGGGATTGTGTATTAAACCTTGGTGGCTGTGTTCGCGCTCGATGGGCCTGTCGTACTCGCTGTCAAAATCCTCTCGCTGTAGCATTATTACGGAATTTTGCACGCTGGTGTCCTTGATTGTAGAGTCCAGGGTCGAAAGTTGTTTTCCCATTACGGTCGAAGGGGCGGCTATGTACGTGTTGGAATCCCCGCACATTGGGGCGCACGTACGCAGCCAGCCGTTTTGAAAAGTGTAATCGTAATTAATTATGGGAGTGCCAACGTGACTTTTGAAGGGGAAAGTGTTAATAAACTTGTTGGTGCGGGGTGCAAAGTCGGCACAATGAATAAAGTCGTAACAGTTGTTGTGCCGCGGTACCCCCATGCACGTGGGGATTGTGTCGGATTTTGTTAAAGTGCCGCTACTGTCCATGCTTACGCCCCAGTACTTTTCGATCAAGAGGCGATGGTCGTTTGTGTGAAACTCGCTCGGTTCCGTCGTTACCATTTGATTGTCTGTCGTGCCCGTGCCCGGCTTGGCCATGCCCGTGTCCAGGTACAAGTTTAATCCCACCGAACTCACCCCGTACACCAACATGTCTGAATTGACCGGCTGTACTATGGTAGATCCAGTTTTCCAGGGAGTGCGGATGCCGTGAGGCGTTATTTTTGCGCGGCAAGAAAGGGCTTTGGTGTCTGGAGGCAGCGATTTAAAAGTGCCCGGTGTAATATAGAGGTAGGGAAACTCGACGGGCAGGCGAGACATGGACGTAAAGTAGCCGTAATACTTTTTGTCGTGCGTGTACGTTATCTTCGTTAACACGGTGGCGTACCCCCAGGTGGTAAGTAATTTACTGTCATTATACACTGAAACCACTCCTTGGTCTCTGGGGACGCGCAAAATTTGCTGTACGACGACTCCTTCATTTTGAGTATTACTTCCAATTCCTGCTCCTCCGGGCCCGCGTTGGGTGAGTTCTTGCGAGGTCTCCTGGTCCGTTGGGCACGGGTCTGCGTTGCTTGTTGACGAATCTGCTGCGGCGCTTCCGGAGTAAAGGGCTCGCTCGATGAAGTTGACGACTGAATCTCCATAGAGCCGCTTGAAGTCAGGTGATGACCCGCTATCGTGACCACGTTTCCGTCCGGACATGTTTTCCCCTCCTCCATAGAGTGTACGGCCGAGAGCCTTTTCCTCTACTAGGTTTTTAAAACCGAGCCCAGCTGCACCAACGAGAGAGTGCCACGAACCCCGGTCGCTCCAATCACTTACAAAGTCGCCGATGGCCTTGTGATCGGCTGTAAAGATGTCTTGGTCGCTAGTTGCCTTGGAATAGTCGTGATCGTGTTGCCGGGCTATCCAATCGTCTCTGTCCACAGGTTGGCCGTTGTCTAAGGGGTTCCCGGGTCCCAAGTAGCGATGAC